GGCTGTTCGAGCGCAACTGAAATTACAAGAGGACGCGGAACCAATACTGACTGAATCTTCTTGACGAACGTTCACCAACCGCCAACGGAAATTTTCCCTCCCAATTAGCGGTCGGTGAAGGTTCGTCAAAGAGTGTCAATATCTCCTGACCTAAACTGGCAAGACAACGAGCTCGTGGCTCAATGGTTAGGACGTTCGACTCTGATCAAGAGTTCGCAAGTTCGAGGCTCGGGTGTTGCACCACTTGAGTCTGGGTATGACTGAATGACGACGGCTACTAAGTCCGAACTGGACATTCCAGTCTCACTTGTCTTTGCCAGCAATACTATCTACTGACTGAATTCTCTGCAAGGTCCGTCACTTACCCTTTGAGATTTACCCATAAAACGAAAGTTCTAAACTTATTGGGAGAAAGCGGCACAGCTGCTCAGGGGAACGATGAACGCAACGGGAATGGTGGAACAGAGAGGACGAGGGTTGATTAAACTAGCAACTGTCCGGCATTTAAGGCAGATTGTGAGATTAAGCCAGATCCCCATTAGCTTACTTTCTGAGTCCGAGCACTCAAGCTACAAGCGTTTTCCCGGCAGATAGAAGACAGAGTAAGAGGAGGAGAAGGGGGTAGGATATAAAACTGGTGTTGTTGATACGAACCGGGACGGAGAGGGCCTCCAAGCCCCCCCGCCTGAGTCTACCCGAGAAACCAAAGTCTGTGGGATAACAGGGGGTTCTAAAATCTATGACCATCGAAAGAGCAGCCAGGTTAACGGTGGATGCTGCAGGAGAGTTTTTACATGGCTGACATCGTTCCGGTCAATTCCTACGTGACTCAAAGCCCAGGTCGGTTCAACCGGTTTACAGGTACACTAACAGAAGTGTAGAACCAGGTCTGATGAGATGGTGCGCAAAATTATAAACCATATGAAGCAGCAGCAGCAGCACGCTTTCATTGCTAATCCCGCCGCTAATGGCCTGATAAATTACATCAGTTCTTATGCAGAAGCAAACGATTTAGTCTTGCATTCTTCGAAAACGGATCCTCGGATCCAAATCATGGCGCCCCAACAAGCAGTATAAACTATAATATGAAAATCAAAGCGAGCAGTTATCAGTGAGCACTGCGTGTGGTTACACCTTTGGGGTTGACCCTTCCTTAGTGGGAATACACTACAGGTGATAACCCCTAATTCAAGTCGATAAGTATGGCTAAGAGACGCAGGATAGCCAGAATTTGACCAGTCAAAGTCACTATTTTACACCCAACTGTACAACAGTCTGTATATATGTGTTTGCTTCGATTTGGGAAGCTGGGAATAGCAAGGTAGGCGAAAAGCTGTCGGTGAAAGGAAAAACTCCAAGTGGGATCGGCGAACTGCGAAAAAGACAACGCACGTACGTACACACGCAGGTACGATTAGATCTGTGCCTCTTCCTCTCCTACCAGGCCCGCCACTTCCGACTACGGCTCACTTATTTGTAAACAAGAACCATGATGCCTAGGCAACATTTGCATGAAGGCAAGATGAAACCAAATGGCGAAAACCCCCTAAAATGGAGTTCGAGGAAGCCGACGCGATCTCAGGCACATTACATTTATTCGCCTAACATTTCGGATTGATTATCCAATAGCGTGCATCAGAGCAAAGAACGCCGGGAGTCGCTTGTCGGATCTGGCGCATTTGTGAAAAAAAAACAACCATACCGGAAAAGTCAGAACGAATACGCAACAGATGTGAAGAAAAACATCAATTTTAAACTCGCGCCTCACACCTTCGGTTTCTAGGACGCCGAATTGCTTGCAAGAGGTCGAGCAATCAAGTCAATTGTGCCCTGTCTGATTTAGGGTTCCCGGCCAGTAGTCAGTCAACGAACTGAACGACTTTGCCTGGGCAGGGCAACTTGTTATGCGGGGATCATGCAGATTAACTGTTTTCACTGCTATTACTGCTGATCGAGTACTTATCAAGCCCACAACATTGATAGAGTCGTGACAACCGAGGTCTCAGATGCCGGCGATTAAGAATTCATAGTGATCAGTTGCGGCGAAAACAGGGGCGGTTACATTAAACAGGTGCGCGACTGCACATCATGTGCATCCTG